GTGAAAAAATTTCAAACAAAAATTTGACACATACATCTCGACATTTTATGTGTGCACGTCAAATTTCGGACAAAACCGACATTTTTTATGGCTTGTGTAAGAAAGGCTAAAGGATGTCTTGTGAAATGCATTTTTTAACACTGGATTTTTGTCTTTTTCAAACGCGACACATAATTTGTTTGTTTTTCGCGAAACGACTTTGTGAGCATGTATAATATTCAGATGTACACGTCAAGTTTTTGTTTGGAATTTTTTGACATTTCAAAATATGCTTAACACACATTTTAAAAACAGGAGTGCGCGCTCCCATATGCCAAAACGCCGCTGTCGTGAAGTACCGTGTCTTACACGAGCTCGAGAGTGAGCGTGCAGACTGAGCTGAGCTCACATCATCCAGCCACACCAACTGGTGCGCGGCTAGCGCAAACCAATCTGGCCATCTTCTAAGATCTAGAGGACTGTACTGATGACTAGTCAGCTAGCTAGTTAGTTGTTGGGTCCCCAGTTGCTGAGGTACATCATAGTCCGGAGCTCCTCCTCCTGCTCCTGCCTCGCCTTCCTCCTCGCCGCCGCCCCACCGGCAGCGAGCGGCACCTTGCCCTTGGTGCAGGCGCCGTTCCCGGCGGCCGCATTACTACCGAAGCGCTGTTGGACGCACGGGAGTGCGTGCCGCTCCTTGAGCGCCTCCACCGTGCCCACACCCACGCTCATCGCCGCCGCCCAGGACGAGAACGTAACCTTCCCGTTGCCGCTCGCCATCTGACTAATTGCACGATTCCAGGTATAGCCGAGCTCGAGTGAGTGTTTCGTTCGTTGCTGTGTGTGTAAGTTTGCTCGGCTGCTTGCCAAATGGTGGTGCACCTCACGGTAGTTTCATAGGAGATCACCAGGGAGATGCCGATGTTGGCATGGGTAACCGGCCGTCGCTAGCAAGCTGCCTCGTACGTACGTACGAGCGCGCGCGTGGTTTGTGGACTAGTCGTGGCCTCGTGGGCGGAAACCGGGTGCCTAGCTAGCTTGGCGCCTCAGGTTGCTGTCGGACGCCAGCCGAGGCTGTGAATTGCGGCGTGCAACAAGTTATGCGCTGCTGCCAGCTTGTCACTGTGCGGAAGCCAGTGTGTTATCCACTTGCTGGGAATAGTCTCTGCATCATGCAGATCTGCCAACCTAGAGTTGTTCATTCAGTCCAGCCCGAATCTTCTCCCTGTTTTGGGATCGGCAACTGATGATTAAACACTAACAATCTTCTCTCTGTTTTGGGAAGGCTAACTACACCTTCTGGCAGACGCGGACGGGCAGGGAAACCAGATCCGTAGGCCATGGTTTCCACGATACCAGCCGGCCATGACGGTCTGCTTCTTCGTGTCAGCGTTCCACTCTGTGTCCCACTCTGTCATCACTTTGATCAGAAAAAAAACGTCTATACTTAACTTATGAATGTTGTCTTAGTAAACGACATCCCTCTGATCAAGCTTTTAGTTGAACTTGGTATCGTGCCGCCCATTCAGCAGAGTGCAGATCAACGAAATTCATAACAGGTTCGCCACCAACGATCTCATCGCATGCACAGCCGGCCGACTCGAGCCACAGATACAGATCCAGCAGGTCGACTCCATGAAAATAGTAATCAGAAAAGAAGAATTTGGCTGGAAGGAACACAACACCGACATCTCTAACGGCCGCCATTTGCAGCGACCTGGAGGTGTTCGGAATGATCAGAGAAGATGTGAGTGAGATGTTGGAGGGCAGCCGGGTGTGTCACTGAGATCAAACTCCTTTTCTGTTTCCCCCCTGCTCCATCCTTTTTGTGCACGTAGCCGAAGCTGCTCTGTTTTCTCTGTATGCCTCTCTGCTTGCTTTGCTGAGTTACTCTCTCTCTCTCTGTGTAACTCTCAACTTTCTTCCTCTCTTGATAAAGATTGTGGCCTTTGGCCTTTTGCCCCGAAACTAGTCACATAAGCAAATGAACAAGGAGGGTGATGTAAACTCATAGCCGAAATTTTCATCATTGTCATCATCATGGTATGTTTACAACCGATCATGTGGGGATTGTCACATAACATAAGCATAAGCTGCAATGAACTCAACACCCCAGCTACTAGTGCTCCTAATTTGGGCCCCATCAGCTGAGGTACATGACCGTCCCTAGCCCCTTCGCAGCCTTCTCCGCTCGCCGCCTCTCAGGCGATGTCAGGTCTCTGGCATGGGATGCCTGTCAAAACCAACATATTATTAAGTGGGATATGTGGGTTTAGTGCGATGCCTACTACTAAACGTACATTCATCTATTACAACGTAATATAATGCTGAAGCATCTTTTTGTGTGTGAGGATGATACTGAAATATTGACTCATTACACAACACAATGGTAGCATTGGATGGATCCCATGGATGGATGGTAGTACACTAAATCTCCTCTCTTCCATTGCTATAGATTTCCTATCCATTGCTGGTACAGGACGGATCATGTGCTGCTATGCACCTTCCTCTACCTTCAGACTGCTGGCCTAATGATGCCTGTGCCTGGACAACACACAAAAAGCTCACTGTAATTGTTACTATTTGTTAGGAAATAAAGCAATCCTCGTTCCCTCCATGAAATCAGGTCACATAATAACATAAACTATTAATAGACACAAATTGTAAAAGTAGCAGATTGGCTGCCTCTAGATTTCGGTGGGCTAGCTACACTGCTTGCATTCAGAAACTGAGAATACAGTCTCTGCAGCATAATTTTATATCTGAATTCTGAATGTAAATGTGAATATTAAAATGCTCCACGGAAACAAAAACAATAGCTGAGGCGACAGTGCAACTGCTTATCATCCCAGGACAGTTACAATTACTGATATAATTCTTAGTTTTTTAGCGTGATATAATTCTCAGTTACCATCACTATTCCAAGTTCTCAAGGAAAAATTCCTTTCAGTCCTTTGCTGCAAATCAAATCAAATCACTTGTTTGACATGCCCGCAACTGCTACTGCATTTTTTTACAACGTTTTGCTTGGGACCAAAACAGATTTTTCAGCATAATTTTGAGGTAAGTTGCCTTCCTTTCCCTTACTTAATCTGGTACATTTGCATGCCTAACAGTAATATATCGACAAACCAATGCTTTGAGGCGATTAAAGTATCCACAAGATATATAGTAATGTGAAACAATCTTCATTACCTCATAATCCAAGTTACTGTCAAAACAACTCTAGTCACAAGGAAGAAGAAACATCCACTGCTATTGCTGTCAGGTGTCGGTTTCCATGGGACGTGCGCACGCAACGAGGCTCGGAACTGTCGTGAAGGGTTGTGCATAAGATCAGTGCTCCAATCTTAAGAAGAGGAGCAACCAGATGAAAATAACACATTAAGCTTCAACAAAGAAGCTCAAATCATAAAGAATCAACGAGACAAGGATGATAACACCAAGAAAACATCCACTTGACGATGTGATGACCACTGACCACGATAGGTTTTTTTCTTCTCGCAAACATAACCACTGACCACGATGTTCACCGGCGGGTCAAATTGATGCACTTTTCACCATGCCACGCCTTGTTCTTCTCCAAAATTTTAGCATGTCATGCCAAATCCTGCAAGGAACAACAGAACGAACAGTTCAGTATATGAGACTCTGTGTGCAAGAAAGAAACAACAGAATGTGCAAGAAACTACAGGATACGGTTCAGTACAGACACTGGCTCACAGGCAAAAATGGACTATACTACCAGAATGTGCCAAAAACAACAGAACCAACAATTCGGCACTGAAACTATCCCAGGCAAAGAAATAATTACTTGTAAAATGTGCAAGAAACAAAAGAACCAACAATAATAAATTTGTATGTACAGTGCAGTGTGAGTTGGAAAGATTAATTTTTTTATAACATGCATTTTAATATTCACATTCATCAGAATTCAAATGTCCAAGGAGAGACAATTAGCCACTCAGGGAAAGGTATAAATCTGCTTGATCAGGAATTACAGAATTGTGCACTCAAATTCAGCTACTCCTTGGACATTTGAACTAAATCGGCGACAATTAATATGGATTGGAGGGAGTACTTAATTTTGATTTTGGATAAGAATCACAAGGTTACATTTGAAGATATAAATGGTACGAGACAAACCTGAGGAGCTTCATTCGGCTGGCTCCCAATGGCTCCAAGTCAGCAAGGAACTCGTGCTCTGGGAGATTCGCTGGCAAATTCACCATTTGGTGACTTCCATGCTGTGGCGGAATGGATAATCTCATCTCCTTGACTTGAGGATTATCCTGTGGACTCAGCCCATACAGGAAACCTGCAACCTGTGTCCGTAGATCTGCTATGCATATCAAATTCTTCAATATATTCTTTGGCGTGATGTAAGTATAGCCAGTCCCCTGTAGACAGAATATACACACAGTCAGTAGCCATTTGACCATTGTTATTTGGCGATTTTATGGGTAAATCGAAGAACATAAATTGCTCCTCTGACCTTTATATCATCGGAGTTAACATAAATGTGGTTGACCCGGAGATACAGGTTCATAGCAGAGATGGCCCTGACACGCAAATCTGTCTTCGATGCAAATGCTGCTTGCTCATACCCTTCCTTGTCACAATAATTTGCTTTGACTTCCAAGGGATCCAACATACCCTTCCTTGCCACAATAATTAGCTTTGTCCTGCCCTAGACGGTTTTTTCCTGCCCATACACTTGTGTGGATGACCTGCAGATTATAATGCATTTTCATTCAAGTCTTCCAAGTTGTGATACTGCGCAGTACGTCATAATTGCAAGAAAACTAGAGCTAAAAGCAAAACAAAGGGAACAAACCTTCAGAAATAGTTGGTTCACCAGTTCTTGGATTGAAAATAAAGATAGCACCATTGATTGGTTTGGCCGTCAGGTTACCCTCGGTTTTGTGAATGGTAACTCCTCGATAGACATCTGTGTCATCCACAAACCATATGATTTGATTGCTGAATATCTCTCCGTGCCGTAGTTCTGTGAATACAACTCAAGACCCTTTCCTATTCTCTCCCTCAGCACATACAGAACATGATTTTACTGTCAAAAGAGAAAATAAACTAGCATGTCATTTACTGTATCAAATAAGACATTTTTTTACTACAACAGAGATATCTAGATTTGTTACAGTTAGCATGGTTATTACCATCGATCTTGTTCATTGCTTGCTGAAGGACGGGCTTTAACCCGGGGAACCAATTACCAAAAGCAGAGTGCAAATTATAAGCTAGATCAAGTCCAATCATCACCCCTGCAAGAAATATTAATCAACATTAAGCACAGAAGACTCGGCAAGGCAAGAAATTGGCAGTCGATGGACACTCGAAATCATACCAGTCGGAGAACGGTAGATGGACAAATTATCTGTCATGTAGTCCATAAATTTTGCTCTTGCGTAACATTCTATGTCGTGTGAATCATAATCTCCCCATCTTGGTTGCACATGAATCCAGTGCTTGTTACTGGCTTTCTGATCGAAGACATCCTTTGACTCAGAAACTAAGCTTGGTTTGGACATCTGCCCCTATGTGCAGCAAAAACAACATCTGCACATGAACTGTTCATCTTGCAACTCTTCCTTGGATGTATTGTCTCCTTCTGTACTGTCTCAATCTCCAGCACATCCTCCTGAACCAGAACTTGTCAAAGATTCATAGCAACATTTTCATGGACCTTGTGCCAAAGATGTGCACGGGAAATAGTTGGATAAACAGAACCTGCTTCTTCAGGTGTCACATATGACCCATCTTTCAAGTAGTTGTGTTGTCTCACTTGTTCTGCCTTCAGCCACAAATGAGTTAACCTTCCAAGATTTTGGCGGCAGACAGTCTTGTCAACTGTAGCACCACGCCGGATATGCTCACGACATTTGTCCACCAATCAGCCTTGGACTTCACATAATGTTGTATCGTGTTCTCAATACAGGACCTTCCAGCAGCGTCATGCCTCACTAGGATGCTGCAGTATATACTCCGGGCCTTGTTTTGCTTGATGCCCTCTGACTTTGCATTTTGCTCTACCAGAAGGCTACTGGCGAGTGATGATTCTGGCTTCAGATTGTCTTATGGTGCTGAACAAGCTACAGGCCGGAGCTAGTTGATGATTCGACATCCATTGCTCTTCAGATTCGGAGTTGGTTTATCTCTCATGTTAATCGTATCTGTAGTAAGAATGTACAAGAATCTGTTGTGATACTCCAAGCCCTCGGCGCATTCGAAACCAGCCGTGCCGAAGGTCGGCAGCATATCCATTGAAACTAGGTGTAGACCTAAAATCTCATACTCCACCAAACATCTTTGACTATCTCCTCAAGCCCACAATCACCTAACTGATCCAGCTAAAATCTCATAATCCATCGTAAAATTGGGTTCAAGATCATAATCACCTAACTAAATCCAACAACAACAACAACAAGAACAAAGCCTTTAGTCCCAAACAAGTTGGGGTAGGCTAGAGGTGAAACCCATAAGATCTCGCAACCAACTCATGGCTCTGGCACATGGATAGCAAGCTTCCACGCACCCCTGTCCATAGCTAGCTCTTTGTCGATACTCCAATCCTTCAGGTCTCTCTTAACGGACCTAACTAAATCCAAATTCCTCAAAAATAATTAAAAATCTGTTTATCCACTAATAAAATAATCAAATCTCACAATCCACCAAACATTTTTTACTATCTCCTCAAGATCACAATCAACTAATTAAATCGATCAAAAACTCATAATCCATCATAAACTTTGCTTCAAGATCAAAATCACCTAACTAAATCCAAATTATTTCAAGATTAATTAAAAATATGTTTATCCACCAATATAATAATAGTCATGCTCATACTAGACCTAAAATCTCATAATCCACCGAACATCTTTGACTATCTCCTCAAAATCACAATCACTTAAGTAGATCCACCAAAAACTCATAATCCAACGTCAAATTTGCTTCAAGATGACAATCACCTAACTGAATCCAAATTGTTTCAAGATTAGCAAAATATATGTTTATCCACCAATATAATATAGCCATGCTCATACTAGACTTAAAATCTCATAATCCATCGAAGATCTTTAACTATCTCCTCAAGATGACAATCGACAAACTAAATCCACCAAAAACTCATAATCCATCGTCAAATTTGCTTCAAGATCACAATCACATAAGTAAATCCAAATTCTTCCAAGATTAATTGAATATATGTTAATCCACCAATATAAAAGTAGGCATGCCCATACTATACCTAAAATCACATAATACACCAAACATCTTTGACCATCTCCTCAAGACCACAATTACCTAACTAAATCCATCTAAAATCTCATAATCCATTGTGAAATTGGTTCAAGATCACAATCATGTAACTAAATCAAAATTGCTCCAAGATTAGTTAAAGATCTGTTTATCCACCAATAGAATAATAGTCATGCTCACTTACTAGCCTAAAATCTCATAATCCATCAAACATCTTTGAGTGTCTACTCAATAGCACAATCACCTAACTAAATCCACCAATAATCTTATAATCCACCATGAAATTTAGTTGAAGATCACAATCACCTAATAAACTCTAAATTGTTCCAAGATTTAACTAAATATGTGTTTATCCAATAATATAATAATCATCATGCTCATCCTTTAACCTTAAAAACTCATAATCCACCTAACATCTTCTCAAGATTATAATCACCTACCTAAATCAACGTAAAATTTTGTAAGTCACCGTGCATTTTTGTTCAAGATCACAAGCACCTAACTAAATATAAATTGTTGCAAAATTCCTTGAAGATTTGTTTATTCGATACTATAATAATCACCATGCTCACCTAATAGGCCTAAGATCTCATAATCTCACGAACATCTTTGACTATCTTCTCAAGATCACAATCACCTAACTAAATCTACCTAAATCTCATAATTCACTGATAAATCTGCTTCACGATCACAATCACATAACTAAATCTAATGTGTTCCAAAATTAATTGAATAATCTGTATATCCACCAATATAATGATCACCATGCTCACGTACTAGACCTAAAATCTCATAATCAACCGAACACAATCACCTAACTAAATCCAAGGTGTTCCAAGATTAATTGAAGATTTGTTTATCCATCAATATAATAATCACATTACTCACGTGCTTCACCTAACTAAATCCACCAATAATCTTATAATCCACCATGAAATTTAGTTGAAGATCACAATCACCTAATAAACTCTAAATTGTTCCAAGATTTAACTAAATATGTGTTTATCCAATAATATAATAATCATCATGCTCATCCTTCAACCCTAAAAACTCATAATCCACCTAACATCTTCTCAAGATTATAATCACCTACCTAAATAAACGTAAAATTTTGTAATTCACCGTGCATTTTTGTTCAAGATCACAAGCACCTAACTAAATATAAATTGTTGCAAAATTCCTTGAAGATTTGTTTATTCGATAATATAATAATCACCATGCTCACCTAATAGGCCTAAGATCTCATAATCTCCCGAACATCTTTGACTATCTTCTCAAGATCACAATCACCTAACTAAATCTACCTAAAATCTCATAATTCACTGATAAATCTGCTTCACGATCACAATCACATAACTAAATCTAATGTGTTCCAAAATTAATTGAATAATCTGTATATCCACCAATATAATGATCACCATGCTCACGTACTAGACCTAAAATCTCATAATCAACCGAACACAATCACCTAACTAAATCCAAAGTGTTCCAAGATTAATTGAAGATTTGTTTATCCATTAATATAATAATCGCATTGCTCACGTGCTAGACCTACAATCTCATAGTCCACCAAATATTTTATACAGCTCCTCAAGACCACAATCACCTAACTAAATCCACCAAAAACTTATAATCCTTCGTCAAATTTGCTTCAAGATCAATCACCTAGCTAAATCCAAATTAATTGAATATATGTTTATCTACCAACATAATAGTAGTCATGCTCACACTAGACCTAAAAGGTCATAATCCATCGACCATCGTTAACTATCTCCCCAAGATCACAATCACGTAACTAAATCCACCTAAAATATCATACTCCCTCTAGTACAAAGTTAGTACAAACTTAAGTCATTTATTTTAGGACGGAGGGAGTAATTCACTAACAAATTTGCTTAAAGATCACAATGTCCTAACTAAATCAAAGTGTTCCAAGATTAACTAGAGATATGTTTATCCACCAATATAATATTCACCATTCACACGTATTAAATCTAAAATCACATAATCCACCATGAAATTGGGTTTGAGATGACAATCACCTAACTAAATCCAAATGGTTCCAGGATTAATTAAATTAAATCTCAAAAACTGTTTATCCTCCAACAGAATAATCAAATCTCATAATCCACCGAACATTTTTTACTACATCCTCAAGATCACAATTGCCTAATTAAATCCATCAAAAACTCATAATCTATCGTCAAATTTGCTTCAAGATCAAAATCACATAACTAAATCCAAATTATTTCAAGATTAATTGAAAATATGTTTATCCACCAATATAATAGTAGTCATGCTCATACTAGACCTAAAATCTCATAATCCACCTAACATCTTTGACTATCTCCTCAGGATCAGAATCACCTAAGTAGATCCACCAAAAACTCATAATCCATCGTCAAATTTGCTTCAAGATGACAAGCACCTAACTAAATCCAAATTGTTCCAAGAATAACGAAAGATGTGTTTATCAACCAATATAATATAGCCATGCTCATACTAGACTGATAATTTCATAATCCATCGAACATGTTTAACTATCTCCTAAAGATCATATTCATCAAACTAAATCCACCAAAAACTCATAATCCACCACACATCTTTGACTATCTCTTAACTAAATCCAAAGTGTTCCAATTAATTGAAAATATGTTTATCCACCAACATAATCACCATTCTCATATACTAGACCTAAAATCTCATAATCCACCAAACATTTTTGACCATCTCCTCAAAACCACAACCATGTACTTGAATCCATCAAAAACTCATTGTCAAATTTGCTTCAAGATGACAATCACCTTACTAAATCCAGAAATTCAAGATTAATTGAAAATATGTTTATCAACCAATATAGTACTAGTCATGCTCATACTAGTCCTAAAACCTCATAATCCATCAAACATCTTTGTCTATCTACTCGAGATCACAATCACCTAACTAAATCCATCAAAACCTCATAATCCATCATCAAATTTGCTTCAAGATGACAATCACCTGACAATCACCTAAATAAATCCAAATTGTACCAAGATTAACTAGATATGTTCATTTATTCATATAATGTAGACATGCTTATATTATATCTAAAATCTCATAATTCATGGAGCAACTTTGACTATCTTCTCATGATGAGAATCACCTAACTGAATCCAGGCTAAGGTATCATAATCCATCATGAAATTTGGTTTAAAAATCACAATCACCTAACTAAATCCAAAATGCTCCAAGATTAATTGAAGATCTGTTTGTCCACCAATATAATAATCAC